CCATTGTTTCGGCGTGTATGTGAACACATTTGGGACTAACAGGGTTTACTAGAATCCCACCACTCCACCACAGAGTCACCGCAGTAGACGTTAGATGAGCGCTGTCGCTCCGCGGCACTTGTAATTTATATATAATATTATTTATTATTTTCACATACAAAATTACACATAATTAGCAAGAGTATATAATGGGAGTTCTCCCATATATACTCTTCGTTTCTATAATGTACGTCGATGGTTGCTCAATCAAAACTGACTTCTTCTCACTCACTCATTTGTGTCCGTTTTTGTGGGGAGCTACAGTGTCATTGACACTTTCATTTAAAATGGGTGGGGCGATTGTGGGCAGTTCCTTTTACGTGATATGCTGGAAATTTGCTATCCATATAAATATCACTGCTAACTTCTTATTTATAATTGTGAGGTGACATTACATAAGGCTTACGATAGTAAGATTTGCGGTTATTATCTTGATTCTGATCACATGCACTTTACAGGTGTTTGCATACTGAACCTAGATTGACTGCTGGTACTGTATAATATTATGTACTGCATTTTATGCCAATTTTTAGCTCGCCTTGATATCGTCAAGAGGAGCTATTGCCATGGTGTGTCCGTCCGTCCGTCCGTCCGTTCGTCCGTCCGTCTGTCAACATTTGTCTACGGTCAACGATAACTCAAGAACCGTTTGACCCACATGTTTCAAATTGCATGCAGTTGTTACTCCTATGGGAGACGTTTGAATGTCCTATTTGGAGCACACCAGTCGACCTACTTTTGAGCCACGTCCACTTTTTGGCAAAAATGGAAATGGCCATAAGTCAATTCAGGTTCAACGAATTTTGCTCATTTCTAGTACGTGAATGAATCCTTTATTCATGGATCCACTATCATAACTCAAGAGCCGTATGACCCACATGTTTCAAATGAAATATAGTTGCTACTCCTATGGGAGAGATTTCAACTTCCTATTTTGGAGCACGCCAGTCGACCAAATGGCAAAAATTTAAATGGCCATCTAAATTCATTCGTTTTTGTTAAATTTTGGTATGTGAATGTGTAAGGCTAGCCCCAAAACAGTTGTTACTCCTATGGGAGAGATGACAACGTTCTATTACGTTTATTTTGCCTAACTGGTCAACAACGCTACAATCATACCTATATACGTGTAATATTGTGTTTTAGATTCTTCGTTACAGTAATTTGACTGGAATATTTTATTGTTTTTATTTGCGCGATATTCGAAAACCAAAATGGCCATCATTTAGGCGTAGCACCATCTCTCGTCAAGATTTCAGACTTTCAGATCTGAAACATTTATTTTTGCATCAAAACTTATGCATATATCATTATCAAGAGTATATAATGGGAGATATGCTATATAATGGGAGTTCTCCCATATATATATATACTGTTGCTTTATATATCCCCCCTCGGTCTTTTATGACACCCAATGTGAGCTACAGTGTCATTTAGACTTTTATTCTTAGAGCTTTTTTAAAGGGATACTAGACTCTAGGATTTTACTGCATACAACTGTACTTATAGGGACAGTGATTTTCCGCGATTGCGGAAAACGGACAGAAAACACGGAAATGGCCATTGGAAACGGAAAAATGCGGAAAACGTAATTTGAACATATTACAACATGGAAATTTCAATAAAACCATTAAAAAACGTCGACAATAGCATTGGTAGTGATATGGTTTACATTCAGACAAGTTTCAGAGCAAAATGACTTACAATTACGTCTTTTGGTAGCCCTGTGTTTCGGTGCCAGCCCAACTGTCGGTCAGTGACCAAATACCTTTTTTTCATGCAAATATATGTAAATGGAATTTTGCATTTTTGGTGTGTACAATCTATGGCAAACCGGAATTTTCATTTTACTTTACTTTGAAACGGAATTCATGATTTTCCCAAACGGAAAAGGCAATTTTTTGAAACGGGAAATTACTGTCCCTATACTTACTGTATAACAAATCGTCTATACCCACACGTACTTGTTACCAGATATCTAATTTAATTGTTATAATTAATAAATAATAATACCATACTTGTTACCAGATACCTAATTTAATTGTTATAATTAATTATACATCAACGCTACGAAATTTGAACGACGCCATTGACACCTGCGACCGTGCTGCCACCCTGAAAAAGTTGCGCATTTCGCAATATATTTTGCACGTTACAGACCGAGGGCTAATCACAAAGGTGCAATTATATTTATACCTAAATGCTATTTAACCGAACAATGTTCATTTTAGGACAAATTTATTCATAATAAAACTGAAACTATATGTCGTTTATAGGATATTACAATCCTTTTGCTTGGAAATTAATAAATAAGAAACACCCTCGGTCTGTAGCCCTTGGCTGAAAAGTCGTTTTGCGCAACTTTCCAGATCGTGCGCGTTGAGTGGCGCCACCGTCGTAATCAAACTGTAGTCGTTAGTTTTAAAACATTGAAAAAAATATTTCTAATTGTGATTGAACCATGAAACTTTATGTAGCGTAATTTTTAACCTAAATTAACTGAAAATAACCCTAGAACCTAGAGTAAAGGATCCCTTTAAGTGACTTTTAGCACGTAATTAAACGGGCAATATTTTATGAAAACTATTTGGTTTGGGTTTATTACACTATAACACAGGGCTTTGTACTGTAAGCTCAGCACTATTTTTATGTGCCAACATTTCTTAAGCAAATCCATATACCCACAACAACCGGACAGGACAGAATTCTTTAATACCCTTCAAATATTTCCAGAACCTTTTTAGATATTTGGCCCTGATTGGGGTGACCTATTTTGTTCTAGGTATATAGGTATGTTTTGATCTTTCAGCATAATCAGTAATACTCCGTACAACGAAATAAAAGGGGGGTGCCAAGTTGCCAACTGTTTAGTACGATACTAAATTCTCCGTATATTGGCCTAATTACTAGATGGCAGTCCATCAACTGTTGGCATCGGGCCTTGTTGTGTGGCTATGGGATGTCATATCCCTGTTCACAATGCTCAGGACTCCATGCTCAAGATACTAGCTAGCTATTCTTTCCACAACCTTGTCAAGTTCCTGTGTCATAATAACAGAAAGGCAGCACTGTGGTTCGGCTGTTGTAGAAGCATCGTGCAGTAATGTGTGAATATGCTTCTTGGATGTGTTTTGCATCGTTTGGTCAGGATTTCTCTTTGCTAAAGTGGACATGCTTACAAGATGTTCGGTACAAGTGATAAAGGAAGTGCGTGGCAAAGTGGAAAGACTGCCCAAATCTGGCGCAATTCTGCGAAGATCATTGAAGAGTGAAATCTGGGTGTGAGTAAATTCGTACTCATGATCGCTGTACGTGCCTCGCCATTGCTGTGGTAAATACGTTGAGGCAAGTGAAAGGCCACCACCGACGAAAGACGTATCTTAGAAGAGTGCATGGAGTGGGTTCCGTGCGAGTAGAGATGATCATTCACGCGGCGTCCCACAGCACCATATTTTCCGAGAAACGAAGGGTTGAATGAAGGCGACCAGAGATGTGGACTCATCGGCGTTGATATCGTGAAAGATGTCCTTTTGTTGCAATTAGTAGTTTGCCTCACGAGCGTGCGAACGTCGTCGATGCGTTGGCTGATCGATATCGCCGAAGCAACTGTGTGCAGAGAGTAGTTTGGCTGGTAGGTCATGAATGGGGTGAAAGACGGATGGGTTGAAGTGTGGGTGCAAGGTGAGTAGCGTTGGGATCCGGGAGGGAGAGAGCGAGTGAGCGCGTGCGTGTTCCTCCGAAGCCGAATAATCACGCATTATTCTACCTTTTCAGCTCACGCAGGCGAGTGTGGTGTGTGTTAGTGATGAGAGAAGATGCTTAGTGCAGTGAAGAATGACTGTTGTTCGGCTCCCATTTTTGGTGTAAATGTAGAACCCTAACCCTATAAAGTATTTTTAGTGACATTCGTATTGTTTTGGGTTTGCCGAGATCCCGGGGAGTAGAAATAGAGGGTGGAACAGCTGTACCGTGAGACTGCGTAAGTCAAACCTGTCTATAAGGGTTACTCGGTGGAACCCCCAAAGTGCCCTTTATGGACAGGTGGCCACTAATTTAATTTTGACCCTGTAAGTTACGTATACTAAAAAGAAACCATAAACTCTGCCAGAGAACTCAGGAACCATACGAATTTTTAATTAGCATGAGATTTTGGCCCAGTCTCTTGGGTTTGCTGATCCCCCCCCCCTTCTTGCGGGGATTTCGGTTAGCTCCTGTCGTTTACTTTCAGCTACACGGACAAGAAAGGTGAGCGTGAGATAGTATACCTGCATGTGCAGTCGCTCTCTGCGGCCGGTGAGGCAGGAGTTGACGATGGCATGGTGTCAATTACCTGGTCACAGGTGGTGAGTGTGTGTGTGCGTGTGTGTGTGTGTGTGTGTGTGTGTGTGTGCCTGTTGCTCGATTTGCGGCCTCACCCTCCATCGTTCGTCGTGCGGTGTGTCGAGCCATTGACTTACAGTCCTTGCGTTTGCATTTTCCTCCAGCAGCTTGGTTACGAAGACGTCCACCAGTCGACCATCCACAAGCTTACCGAGGTAGGTGGTTGTACTAGTAGGTTTACCTACAAGTGGATCTCGTGTCACCTTTTTCATCTCTCTCTCTCTCTCTCTCTCTCTCTCTCTCTCTCTCTCTCTCACAGTACCTTCTTCTCCCTTCTCACCTCTCAGCGATTCCTCTTTATTTACTTTTCTCCTTCTTGTCCTCATTCTCTATTCCTGTTCCTCTGTTTTCCATTTCGTCTTCCTCTCCCCCTCTCTCTCACACTCATTCTCATTCTTTCTCACACTAGCTCTCACTATCTTGCAACATCTATAGCTGCCTCTGTTTCTCTTTCTCATACATATTGTGTGTTAAACTAGAGAATAAGAACTGTCATTATCTAGGATATTTGCTACTCATGAAACTAATTTTGCATGTGATGCGAAAATTCCTGGTGCACACTATATGAGTGTAAATAAAAAGCAAAGCACAAATAACGAAGAAATGTAGATGAGTGGCAAGTCCGATCATCAAGTAAAATCATCAACACCAAAATGTTGTTGTTGTTATATAATTTGCTCTGTGTTGCAACGGGCGCTAAATTGATAATGAGGTAGTGTGTCACGTCTACATGGTTGTGTTTATGTTTGCTTGGTGGTGTAGATTGGAGACCTGACTAGTGCTGATGCTTCAGAGGCAGATAAGATCCGTGCCATGACCATCCAGTCGACGCAGGACTACGACCCTAGCAAGTATGTACCGTGCTCACCACAAGTTCTCGTATCGATTAAAGCCAGCTCGTGGCCCTCGCAAACTATAAAACTATAACGTGTTACTGCGTGTACTCCGAGCTATTTTTCTGCTGAGCGAATTAACGTTCAGTATACTTTCAAACGGTGTGGGAGCTGTATTTTTGTGGGTCTTCTGTTCTCATGCTGCCATTGTGCACGACTGATTAGAGTGTGTTAGTTGCTATCAACTGTGAGCTTGTGTAAGGATTGTTGTTACGTGACATTGCTTCTTCTGTTGTTGTAGCTATGTGAGGTCACGTGGGCAGATGGGTCCACCTGGTCCTACCTACAAGTGCTACAAGTGCCTCAAGCCGGGACATTGGATCTGGAACTGCACCAACCCCGTACGTAACAGCTTACAACATTACACAGCGCGCGACATCGTGGACGCACCAACTTTAGCGTACAGTTTGTGCGTGCATGGGTTGGCTTGAAGGATTTGCTTCCAGCTTTTTCGTGATAATCTCAAAAATGTCTTCATCATTATGAATACTATTTAAGATAACATAGTCGGCTTAACAGCAATCTTGTGATTTAAGTGGTAATTTGTTGGTTAGTCGAGTAATGACTGAACCAAGTACGAGATGTGTTACAAAAAGGACAGCCTTCCAAAAGTAAACCTCGTCTAAGAGTATCTCTCTAAAAATCGGTTGGAATAGCTGTGTGCGTGGTGGAGATTCAGCAGAGCTTCCTCCGCCAGTCCAGCGAGCACTGTTAACGTCATCTCTCCTCGCAGGAGGTGGTACGTGGAGCGGAGAAGGTTCGACGCAGCACAGGGATTCCGCGCAGCTTCATGACAGAGGTGGAAGGACCGGACGTACCCGGAGCCATGCTGACGGCCCACGGCAAATACGCTGTGCCCACCATCGACGCGTGAGTCATGCCTGCTTCACTCCTGTCCTGAAAAACGTACTAGAAACTGGGCTCTGGTGCTGGAAAGTACTCGAAATAGTCTATGATCCTCGGATATCCAGGAAACTGGGCTATGGTGCTGAAATAGTGGCTTTTATTATGCTTCTGGAAGGTCCACCAAATTGAACATGGAGGTTGTGTCCTAGAGGCAATGAAACCTGCTTGATTGTGTCCAGCCAAAATCCTGTAGTCCTAGAAAAAGATGTGGGAAACTCTTATGAAGCTGCTTTAAAAATGAAACTTCTTAACCCAGTAAATTACTGGTCTTGACCCTAACCCTAACCACGTTGTCTCCCCAAATACATGTACCCAGTAAAATAATAGCCACTACTCTAACCCTAGCCATGTCATCTCCCTAAATACATGTACCCAAGAAAATACTAGTTTCTACTCTAACCCTAGCCATGTTGTTCCTTGCAGAGAGGCGTACCGAGAGGGTAAGAAGGAGAGGCCACCATTCGTTCCTCACCAGGAGGAGGAGGTGGAGCCGGAACCTGAGCAGGACATTCCTAGCGAGCTAGTGTGCACACTCTGCAAGGATCTCCTCACCGACGCCGTGCTCATACCCTGTTGTGGCAACAGCTTTTGTGATGACTGTGAGTGCTATACCCTGTCACTACGGCTTCCTGGCGGGCCGGTTTAACTAGCGTAGTGATTTCGTTGTCAGAAACATCGTAAAGTTAATGCTAATGTTAATGCTACGATAACACTTACGACTAATGTTAATGCTACGAGAGTAGCGTTGACAGAAACACATCATAGCTACGGGCAAACTCACGATAACAGGAACTTCATAATTTCATGTCACAAGGCTGCTGATTGGATGAGAATCGATCACAAAATTCAAATTCATACACATTTATTGTACATCACAGTAATTTATTCATGTTATGATGGCTAACCACATATAAATAATATTTGATGAAAAATAACGTGGTCATGAATTTATTCTCACACTAACACGAGACGCGAGAGTCGTGGCAAGCATGGCAAACATGTAAAACAAGAGAACAAATGCCATACACCATTTGTAAATGTATTGTTTTGTTTTATTAGCGGTAGATAATTAATGATTTTGATGTGTTTTTGAAGAAAAAGACACATTTTATTCATTTTTATAAAATATAATATCACTATAATTGTAATTCAGAGTGTAAATGTGTTATTTTCAACTTAATATTAAAGTTACGAGAGGGTCTGGGCTCTCGTAATGTTAAGAGGATATTTGCGAGGATTTTTCGTTCTCGTAACATTACGATGTTTCTGTCAACGGTTTACGAGTGGAAGCTAATGTTAAGACTAATGTTAAGACTAATTTTGTTTCTGACAACGGGCCCCGGATTCTTAATTCGGAGCCAATGTCTGTAAATACATTAAATGCTTGCCTCATGCATTATAGGGTTCATTTCCAACTATTCTCTGTGTACATTCTAGCTGTGTTACAATGGCAGCACACATCTGTGTTGCAGTAGCTACTAGTGGCCTACTTTTTCTGCCATCTACTGAATTCTCATTCTTTTCTGGTTAATAGCAAAAAAAGAAACTTTCCAACTGCAATCCGCTACATTCATCTGACCGTTTTGATAGTTGATGAACCCTGGTCTCTCTCTCCTTCTTCGTCATAGTTCGCTGGGAGCATGTATTTTTGTGACGTTACGCTCGAGCGGGAAGTTTTTTCTCGCAAGCATGTATTTTTTTGCATTCATGAGTTTTTTCTCGCGAGCATGTATTTTTGCGTTCGTGAGTTTTTTTCTCGTGAGAAATGTACGTGTTGCTTTGACGTGCGTCCGCTCATTGGCAGGTATTCGCACTGCGCTGCTGGAGACGGAGGACCACGTGTGCCCGTCGTGTCAGGAGACAGAGATCTCGCCCGACTCCCTCATTCCCAACAAGTTCCTGCGGCAGGCCGTCGAGAACTTCCGCAACGAGACGGGCTACACGAAGGCGCGGCAGAAGATCAAGGAGCGACGCGAGGCGATGCGGCTGAAGGCGCAGCAGGAGAGAGAGAGGTGAGCGAGGGATAGAGAGAGAGAGAGAGAGAGGTGAGCGAGGGATAGAGAGAGAGAGAGAGAGAGGTGAACGAGGGATAGAGAGAGAGAGAGAGAGAGAGAGAGGTGAACGAGAGAGAGCGAGAGCAAGAGAGAGAGGTGAACGAGAGAGCGAATGCAGATGAGAGAGAGAGAGAGAGAGAGAGCGAGAGCGAGAGCGAGAGCGAGTGCAGATGAAGGCGCACCAGCAGCAGAGAGAGGTTACTGAGGGGGAGCCATGGTGCAGTATACGTAGTTGTAGTGGGTGGTGAGGGATGAGCGATAAATATATAGAGAGAGAAAGAGAGCGAGAGAGTGAGAAAGAGATAGATAGAGAGCGAGACAGCGAGAGAGAGAGAAAGATGGATAGAAAGAAAGAGAGAGAGAGAGCCAGCGAGAGTGTGCATGTGTGTGAATGAGAGGGACGCTGAGAAGAGGTTTGCAAGTTAACCAAGTGTAACTAGATCCAGTAAAGCCTAGATCGTAGCCAGACCTGTTCACGCATACACCCACCCATGAACGCGTTGACGATAACTCGTCGCATGCTTCCGCGTTACAGGGCGGCAGCGGCGGCACGAGAGGCAGCTGGTGACAAGACACTCGTTCTAGTCGCTGTTCCTGAGATCAAGAAAGCCAGCAGCAGCAGCAGCCGCGCCGGCGGTGATATCAGCAGCGGTAGCGCCATCGTGCGCGTCGGCGCCGCCAACGACGCGGCCGCGAAGTCGGTGCCGACGTCGGCAGCGGCGCTGTTCCCGCATCCGCCGCGCAAGATCCGCACGCCGCCTCCACCGCACACGGGCACGCCTCCCACGCAGCCGACGTCGGTGTCGTCGCCCGTGCATGCGTCGCGCAGTCCCGCACGAACGGAGATCGCGCCGAGTAAAGGTGTGTAGTACTCTTAGTGACGAAGTATCAGTCTAGCGTGGCTGTGTTCATCGAAGCTCGTGTTGGGGTGGAGGTGTTGGGATAGATTACTGCCTCGAGTGAACCCGAAGGGCAGGGGGGGGGGCAATGGTTTACAACAGGTGTTAGTTTTTCGTTATTTGTGTAGGTAATTTCTGTGCTTTCTCTCTCTGTCTATCTCTCTCATTCTCTCGCTTTCTTCTATCTTTCTCTATCTCTCGCTATCTCTCTCTCTCTCTCTCTCTCTCGCTCACTCTTACTCTAGTTTAATGACACATTTTTAGCTCACCTTGACATCGTCAAGATGAGCTATTGCCATGGGGCGTCGTACGTCCGTCCGTCCGTCAACATTTGGCTACGGTCAACGCTTGAGAACTGTTTGACCCACATGTTTCAAATTGCATATAGTTGTTACTCCTATGGGTGAGGTTTGAACGTCCTATTTTGGAGCACGCCAGTTGACCTACTTTCGAGCCATGCCCACTTTTTGGCAAAAATTTAAATGGCCATAAGTCAGTTCAGGTGCAATGGATTTTGCTCATTTTTGGTATGTGAATGAATAAGGACTGGCCCCAAAACATATCACGCAGGTTTTGATATTTTTTTTAAATTATGCAAATTGGGTAGATTTTGGCAATTTCACTATGTATTTCAGTGTCTGCCTATGGTCAACGATAACTCAAGAACCGTTTGACCCACATGTTTCAAATTTCATACAGTTGTTACTCCTATGGGAGAGATATGAACGTCCTATTTCAGAGCATGCCAGTTGGCCTATTTTCGAGCCACGCCCACTTTTTGGCAAAAATGAAAATGGCCATAGATTCGATTCAATTCATTCGATTTTGTTAAATTTTGGTATGTGAATGTGTAAGGCTAGTCCCAAAACAGTTGTTACTCCTATGGGAGAGACCTATGGAGATGGTTCTTCTATCACACCCAAGGTGAGCTACAGTGTCATTGACACTTTCATTAAGACGTGATGATTACACGTGATAAGAAATCAAAGTAACATGCTGAGCTGTACGTAACGCGTCACCCCTTGCTTTCCTTGCGACAGAGCGAGAGAGTGGTGACAGCCGCGGCGGTGGTGGAGCCCCGGCCGCGGTGATGCTGCGTAAGGAGGAGACGCCGTGCTGGTTCTACGACAGCGGTCGCATCTGCTACTCCGGCGACAGCTGTCCGTACCTGCACGATGGCTCGCCGCGGCCTTCGCGTGAACACAGTGAGTACACATTACCGCCGCGAGAGACGCCGCATAGATTAAGCTGATGAGAGAGGGTGTGAACTCGATCGCGCAGCTCGGAAATACTGCTGGTTACCTAATTTGATCCGAATCTGATGTTCGGTTCATTTCAGCTGATTGAGTTAATGAAGTTGGGGACTAAGTGGGTGTAATATATGTATATGCACTGAATTCGATCTGAATTCAACCACTCGGTTTTGGCATGGTTTTTGGCATGCACTCGGTTGGTTTCGGCATTTGCGGTTAGCGTGGACTTGTTCCTCGTCTCTTTTCTGAATGAAAACTTCCCAACTGGATGAAACGCGTGATAGAATATTGATGGAATATAATATTTTATCATAAGTGCTCAATTACAAATTAATATTTATTGAAAGTGTATTACCAGATCTGTTAATTGTGTGCTGTTGATATTGGAATTATTAACATTATTCGCACGTACGATGTTTGTATTTTTACATGTATAAATGTATGATGTATATCAGGAGTAGATAATAGGGAAGGAGTGTGACTTCAATAAACAAGGGAAATTCGTCATTTACTAGCCTTAGAATACCTACGATTTACTACGCATAACTCAATCAACTTGAGCTCAAATCGTACACCGTACATTCGCCTAGCATCGTGCGAAATCGTTTCCTCATATACACCCGCGATCCGGAGAAACAGACTAAAACGTACGACACAATTATCCATTCTGTTGCCATCAATCCCAATGTATTTTCTGCCTGACTTGAAACAAAAGGCAGTTACTAACGCTCTGCGATACGGTGTGGCTCTCTGGGAGATTGGACATTGACGCAACACTCGGCGAGATAACTTTTGACCCGGCATACAGCTACATACCGGCATACCGGCATACAGCTGGTATGCCCCCCATGCACGCACGCCCACCGCAATCAGCAGCAGCTCCAGCTCCAATCTCCCAGTGAGCCACACCGCATCGCCGAGCGTTAGTAGCTGCCTTTTGTTTCAAGTCAGGCGGACAATACATTGGGATTGATTGAATTTGAATTGATTTGAAATTGAAATTTGATTGATTTGATTGGCAACAGAATGGATAATCGTGTCGTACGTTTTAGTCTGTATCTCCGGATCGCGTGTGTATATGAGGAAACGATTTCGCACGATGCTAGGCGAATGTACTGTGTACGATTTGAGCTCAAGTTGGTTGAGTTACGCGTAGTAAATCATAGGTATTCTAAGGCTAGTAAATGACGAATTTGCCTTGTTTATTGAAGTCACACTCCTTCCCTATTATCTACACCTGATGTACAGTATATGTATATATATTATGTAATAGGTAATGACGTCTCTGGCTCTGCCTTTCACTGATTAAAGTTGCTCCATTTTCGTTATTGCAGGAGCGCCTAGAGATGAGAAGTCGTCGGCATCGGCACACGATCACTGGCGCCCACCCGCAGATTACAGGGGTCCCCCGCCCCCGAGGCCGCATCTTGCAGGACCGCCCCAATTTGCTAAGGTTGACGGCATGCCCCCCGCTCGGTACGACCGCCCGCCTCCCGGCTACGAGATGCCACGCGGCCTGCCTCCCCCTGGCTTCCCTGCCCCGCAGCAGCAGCAGCCGCCGGGGTACCGCCTGCCTCCCCCGCCGCGCGGCTACGACGCCGACACCGCGCGCCGACAGTATGAGGCGTCGCGGTACGAGCCGCGCGGCGCACCCCCCTACGACGCGCTGCGGCCGCCTGGGTACGGCGCCCCGCCCCAACCGCGCATGGACCTCGCCCGCCCGCGATTACCCGCTCCCCCCAGGCCGGGCGGACCCCCGAGAATGGGCGCGCCGCCGCGGGTGGATGGACCCCCGCGACTCGCTGGTCCCCCGAGGGCAGACGGGCCGCCGGGCGTGGACGCCCCCGTGAGGATCGATGGAGGGCCGCCGCGGATGGAAGTGCCGCCACGGATGAGCGTGCCGGGCGGCCCGCCGCCGCCGAACCTACAGCCGCCGCCGCCAGGTACGTACGCTTGGCACGTCTATCAGTTATCATTCACCTGAACTCGTCTCCTGAACCTATTAATGTGAGTCGTGCATCTGTTGCCCTGAATTTGCCTTTTATTTGCATTGACAGATGACACCGGTGTGAGGTTGGTGCAGAGTCGATGATAATTAGTAAATTATTGTTGAATTATTCTCGGTTATTAGGTATCTTGAACTTATTAATGTGATGCTTGCTTCTCTTCCGTGCTTTATAATGGTGACAGGCATCTTCATGACGTCTGCAAAGGCAGGTTTTACTCTTATATAGTGATAGCATCGTTGTGCAACGAACTTGTATCGGATCGCACTCAAAGCCTTGAAGATATAAGTTAAAAGACGAGCAACTGTTGCCGTGTTGAAAAATTGACTGCAAAACATTCCCCACCGTAAAACCACCTGAAAGGATATACCTTGACTAAAGGCAACCTTAAAAAAATGCACAGCGCTGCCGAATCTCATATCGTTAGCACGGTGTAATTACCGTCGCTCCTCCTTGCAGGCGTCGGACCACTAGTGATCATGCCGCGACCACTGGCACCTGTAACCGTGCCAACGACGCCGGTCGTCAGTGGCCCGCCACAGCTCGCCTACGGAGGGCCTCCGCCGCAAGGGGCTCCCATCACAATAGTGGGCAGCGCACCTCCTCCCCTTACAGAGGAAGAGTTCTACACGGAACAGAAACGCCTCAAGTGAGTTTTGCTGGCCTTTCCTTTGTTCTTATGCGGCTATTTATACGGTCGATCTATCTACCGATTTATCACTAGGTATTATGTCGGGTGTTTCACACTTTCCCGCGGTTATTAATGTTATGTTGTTGATACTGTTAGTAATGATTAGTAAATTTGAATTTTAATAGTCGTTACGAATCTAATTATGGCTGCGTTATTTGCTATTTATTATACAGTAACAGCACAAACCCGTGGTAATTTTGACACTGGAGTAATCAATAACATGTTTGCCAATTTTTAGGTAAGACCTAGTTTGTATGCATTATTTTGTTTTTTCGATTTATTTGAGAGGTTTTTCCTTACGAGGTTCTACTCTCTTTCTCTGCAGGGAGGAAGAGGAGCGGACAAAGCTGACGAAACCGTTGGATCCCCTCGAGGATTTCGAGCGAAGGTTGCTCGAAGGACTCCCTCTGCGAAGCCGCTCTCCCAGCCGCTCTCCCAGCCGCTCTCCCCGCAAGAGGTCACCACTGTCGCGCTCGCCACGACCCAGGTCGCGCCTGCGTTCGCTGACGCCGCGCTCTCGTTCGAGGTCGCCGTACGGGCGTCGGTCGCGGCCACGCCCCGCGCCTACCGCTCTCGCTCTGCGCCTCGGCGCTCGTACTCGCCCCGCCGCCGCTCCCCGCCACCGCTCCCTCCGCTCCTCTGCTAACGACTCAAAGCACCGTGCTAGTGGACGCCGCCGTCGCCTCGCCGCCGCGCGGCGCGTCCCCCCTCACCCCGACCCTACTGCCCCCTGCTGCGGCCGGCCGACACGGCGCGCTACCATGCGCCCGCCTGGCGGCTACTCGCCGGACGCGATCTCTCACGACCGCCGTTACCGCCACGACGAGCGTTACCGGAACAGGTACGCCGACTACAACGGCGAGCGTTACGGCGACGATTATGCACCGTCGGCGGCGCCCCCTGGCCATGAGCGGCGGCGCTCGTTCTCGCCTAGTATGCGGCGGTATCGTGAGGGCAGTCGTGAACGTGGCACCGCCGAGGGCTATCCGCTGCGTTGCTCCAGGTCACCACGAGGGGGCAGCAGGGACCGCACAAGGTCACCGCGAGGGAGCAGCAGGGATCGCCCAAGGTCACCACGAGGGGGAAGCAGGGATCGCCCGATGGTCGCCACGAGGGGGCAGCAGGATCGCGCCAGGATCACCACGAAGGGGGCCAGCAGGGATCGGCCACAGCAAGGTCACCACGAGGGGGCAGCAGGGATCGCCCGAGGTCGCCACGAGGGGGCAGCAGGGATCGCGTGCGGTCACGCACCCCAGTCGACCGGAGCAGGGATCGCCCGAGGTTGCTACGAGGTGGCAGCAGGGATCGCGTGCGGTCACGCACCCCAGTCGACCGGGAGAACAAGGAAAACTGGACGCGAAACGGCAAGCCGCTCGATCGGCGCGATGCGGCACGGGGGGAAGGCAAGCGGAGAACTCCGGAGAGGCGCGTGGTCAGCCGCGGCCTAGTTAGCAAGCCACGGGACGGCGGGGAGAGTAGGGACCGCTCGAAGACGAAGAAGTCTAAAGAGAGCGAGACGAAAGGGAAGCTGGCCAGCAAGGCTGCAAAGCAGCAGGAGAAGATCGAGAAGAAAGAGAAGAAGAGCAAGCACAAGAAGCGGCACCACAGTCGCACCGCGTCCGGCGAGCAGAGCAAGAAAGAGGGCGCCACGGCCGCCGACACGGCCGCCGCCACGCTGGCCGTGCAGAACTCCACGAGCGCGGCGGCGGCGGCGGCGGCGGAGACGGAGACGGCCGCGAAGATTCCTACGTGGGTGTCGCAGCGCGCTGCATCGCCACCGCCCGCGGGAGGTCGACCTGCCATGCCGGCAGCGCTGCTGCATCCCGTCGCGCTGCCGTCGCCGCCGTCGCCGTCGAAGCTTGCCGGCGTGCCCGCGAGCCCGGATAAGCTGATCCCATCGCTGATGAGTCAGAGGGTGAAGCCTGTGGGCTTCCCGACACTGGGGCTCGGCTGGGCGTGGCGCGAGGGCAAGACGGACGCGTCGCCGCAGTCTGTGACCGAGTCGCTGCTGCTGCTGAGCAATAACGCAAAGGGCACCACGCCCGTCGCACACGAACTGAGCGACCACCTCGGTGACGCCGCCGCTGTCGGTCAGGCGAAGACGCTCGATGCAACAGAGGGCGCCGTCGCTGCCGCCGCCTCGGTCGAGCGCGAGGAGCCGCGCAGGAAGTCTGTCAACCTCTTCGACACGATGACGGCCATGCTGAACGACGACGGTGCGGCGGCGAAGGTGGCGCCACCACAGCCCGGCGAGGAGAGGGACAGTGCGGGGGACGCCAGTGCAAACGCCACCCCGTCTGCAGAGGAGGAAGCTGCGGATGTGAAGGAGAACAAGGAAGAGGAGACGAAGGAGGAGGAGGAGCGAGGCAATACGGAGAAGGAAGCCGAGGAGGTGAACTTGCCGCGAGAGGAGGCTGGTGAAGAGACGGTAGATCCAGCAGATTCCCGATCGATGGGAGAAACAGAGATACCAGACTCGGAGCGGGAGAAATCCGGGGACGAGGACCTTCCCAAGGAAACGGTCGCAGCAGGCAGCCCCGACGTGCAGGAGCCGGCGAGCGAGGGAGCAGCAGAGCCCGCGAGCGAGGGAGCGACAGAGCCCACGAGCGAGGGAGCGACAGAGGCGACGAGCGAGGGAGCGACAGAGGCGGCCGAGACGAAACTCGACGCGGCGGGACAACCTAAGGCACGGGAGCTCAGCAAGAAGGAGCGCAAGGAGCTGAGGAAGAAGCGCAAGAAGGAGCGCAAGGAGAAGAAGCTGCATCGGCACGGCAGCGGCGGCGTCGTCGAGTACGAGAGCACGACGAGCGACGCCGGCACCACCACCGAGCACGACAAGCGCACGGCGTCGAGCGACGACGCGCCGAAGTCGCCGGCGATCGTCGTCGTGCCGCCGGAGGTCTCCAAGTGGGAGAAGGACGAGGAGGAGGGCGGCGAGCGGTCGGTGCCGGCGACGCCGACGTCGGCACCCCCGCGCAGCCGCGTGACGATGTCCGTGATCGAGCAGGCGGAGAAATACCTGACGCAGAAGCCACGCATCTCGTCGAGCGTCGTCGTGAAGGCCGGCGACCGCCGCCGCGTGTTCCTCGGCGACCAGCCGCCGCCGCCTCCGCCGCGTTTGCCTGACCGAGCGGAGCGGGCCGTCGCCGCCGGCTACCACGCGCGCCGCTCCCCCGTCGACCGGCGCGAGTTTGAGCGGCCGCGGAGGCTGGACGACGGCCGGCGGTCGGAGCGGGATGTGCGGCGGCCGCCGCCGGACAGAGACACGCGGCGCGTGGAGCCGCGGCAGGTGAGCCCCCCTGCGAGGTTTCCCGTGCGCACAGCGCGAGGGCTGCAGGTGTACTGTGAGAGCGAGAGGCCGCCGGCAGCGAGCCGCGTGAGCAGGGAGCGCGCCGACAAGTGGGAGGACGACAAGTGGAAAGAGGCAGAGAGGAACCCGCGGGCGTCGCGCGAGAAGGACGACGGCTGGAATTGGAGAGTGAACGACAACATGGAAGACGATAAACATCGGAGAGCAGGCGAGAAGAAAGTCGAAGACAAGTCCCGCAGGGCAGGCGAAAAAGAAGAAAACGATAAACACCGCAAAGGCACCGAAAAGGACGACATCGATAAACATCGCAGAGGCACTGAAAAGGAAGACAACGATAGATACCGCAGAGGAAGCGAAAAGGAAGACCTCTACAAACACCGCAGAGGCACAGAAAAGGAAGACAACGATAGACACCGCAGAGGCACAGAAAAAGAAGACAACGATAGACACCGCAGAGGAAGTGAGAAGGACAACGACAAACATCGTAGGGGCAGCGAAAAGAAAGAAGAGGACAAATCACGCAGAGAAAGTGAAAAAGGAGCCAGTGACACGAGAAAGGAGGAGTGCAGACCGGACAGGGAGGAAAGGGAGAGAAAGACCGAGCACAGGCGCGATGCGGAGAGCGCGAAGCAGCGCTCAAAGTCGGGTGAGAACCGGGAGCCAAAGGAGAAGCCCGAGAAGAAGCGGGAGCGGAGGCGGACCCCCTCTCCCGACGACCAGGCGTCGAAGAGGAAGTGCGCTGACCCGGACGCGAAGAAGGAGAAGGAGAGGCAGGAGAGTCCCGCGCGGCGTTTCTCGACCCTCGTCGACGAGGCAACCTTTGTGCCGGACTACGGTGAGTCGTCGGACGGCGAATCGGCAAACTCGTCCAGCGACGAGCCGCCGCCACCAGGGGTCTCCCCCGTAGCGAAGAGGGGCGCCAGGCGGACGCCGAGTGTGGAGCGGCGGCGAAGGAGTCCCGTCAGGTTTCCCGGGAAGGGGAAGGGGAAGCAGAGAGAACCCTCGCCAAAGCCGGCCGCCGGCGTGAAGAAAAGAAAGGGTCGGTCGCCGAGCGAGAGCAGTTCTGATTCGCCGAGTCCCAAGAAGAAGTCTAGAGCCGTGAGTAGCAGCAGTGAGAGCGAGAGCGACGATGAAGAGGAGGCGCGCAAGAAGAAGAAGAAGCACAAGAAGAAGGGTAAGAAGGAGAGGCGTGAGAAGAGTAAGAAGAAAAAGTCAAAAAAGAAGAAGAAGCAAAAGAAGTAGAAACTAGGGTAAGGGAGGGAAGGAGGGACGGTTAGACTGTAAAAACGTGCTCGGTTCTTCGTTGGTAAATTTAATCAATACATTCAGGTTTCTGTTGTAACTGCACGTGGTAAAATAGTGATCACTGGGGGTGTTGAGAGAAAGTTTATAATATCGTTTGTATATAACAGCAATGAATAAGCAAATTATGGTTTCCAACTTTCATACTAAGTGGCTGATTGTTGTACGTAGTTAGTGTGCGGAGAGTGGTGAGAGAAAGTGTGTACATGTGGTCTTGTGCAGGTGTATTGTGAGTTAGTGAGGGTAACGATTCAGGGAGGGTGAGGCTCTGGTAGGTATACCGTGAGTGTGTGAGAGTAGAGAGGAATTAACAATGGTATTCTGCGTGGTTGGTTCGAGTATCAATTTAGTTGTGGTGTATGTACGTGTGTAAAAATAGAAAATACTCACAGGCAGGCATGCAATTTCTTTTTCTTTTTTGACAGGAAACCAGTTCCTAGTATGTATTCACTCGCGCGCAATACAGGGTTAGCTGCGTAGATGTTGCGTTATGATTTTTATTTGTACATGCTTGCTGTGTGGTTTTTGATTTGATGCTCATGTCGGCAACCAAGGGGAAGCGGAGGCGTGGTTTGCGTGTAATATAATGCTTGTACATAGTTCTTCTGGGAGTGAAAGCCGCTGAGATGTGTGCGTAATACCGAGGTCAGTCCAAGTGTCAATCATTCATCCTCTGGTTTGAGATTTTTTTCATTGTGGTGTTTATGCTGGTGAACACGCTTAACGAGGGTAAGTGTATGTGTGAAACCTGAAGTCAGAAGACAAGGTAGGCTTCGAGAGTTAACATCACTGTTTGTAATTTATTGTGTAAATGAAATAAAGCGAAGACGCGTTATTTTTCTATTAAAAACACATCTCTTGTTTCGTCCTGCCTTGAAGTGTTTTTCCCCTCTGATTCACGTTTATAGAGAGAGGCGTTTTCCCCATTAATTCTCCAGTGTCATCGTCATGCTTATCACACTAGGTACCCCGCTCCAACACACGTCAAGTGTTCTCACACATTATCCCACCAAGTGGTACACGTGCTTTGACAAATCGCAACTAGATTCACCCCAAGGGTACATTACTGTGCCGGTCTCGCCCTCCCCTCAGAAGAATCAGGAAGGAGGTACCCAGGTACACGTATTTTGTCATCTCTGATCCACCACCCGCCCTGGGGCTGTCTCCCAAGCCTTGTCTTCGTGTTCACTTATGAAGGATTTCTAGGTCGATAGACACACGGGGGAGGGGGGGGGGACAGGTAGCTAGCTGGCGTTACTCGGCGCGGTTGTAATGAAATACTAATCTCTCCTAAATGAACCAGTCGGTGTTAGCCCCCCCCCCCCCTCACCACCACCACCACTTGGGTCATTACCCTCCTTGTCGCTATGTCCTAGAAAGTTGGTAAACCTCGCCTTCCACCTTCACAAGACCGATTGGCAATACAGCTTTGTGCATGTTGTTGCTAAAGTCGGTCAACTAAAAGTATTTACTATAAAAGTATTGAAGTGTCGCGTGTATATGTAGCTCTTATCACAGGTTAAAAACTCGTGCAGTTTGCCAACGGCCATATAATTACAAAGTACACGTAGTTGGAGTAGTTGTGGATAAAATTCCGGCATCATATTCCATCCTCTCGTAAGGTATTGCTGTGTTACTATAAGATGTTGTAACTAAGTATGTATGATATAGTATTCTGTATGCAAATATGTGCGATAAAATAAATGAAATATTATTTGCAGTCACACACTAATTCTAATGTTCTTGTCATTTCTCATTGTTTCGTTTCGTACGCTGTACGTTCATACACATGACACACTGTAACGAATTGCTGAACAACCTATGTTAATACAACAATTTATTAAAATATTAATTTAATATTAATATGCATAACAATAACATAATTCTGTAGCAATAATTATAACGTTCACTCCCACAACTTCCAAGAGCATGATGCTTATTGTGCATGTTACATACCAAGTACTATATATAATTATGTAAAACACGAAAATCCTGCAGTCAAATGTATGAAGCGCGACGACGCGACAGAAAACTTGTTTCACATGTAACTAATCAGGGGGTGACGGAGACAACAAAAGCGCGCACTCGTAGAGAGAGCGAGGGTACGTGTGTTTCAGTACATGACAAATAACAATTGCTCTCACACCGACAGACGAGTCTTCACCCACAGCTCGTACCCACGTGGGTCAACGGACAGAAACACGCATTTAAAATGTCAGCTGCGCAACTGGAAGTATAACTCAACTCAACTCAATTACCGGCATCTGGTTTTTTTGCAGAACCATCAAAGCAGACACAAAGCCTGCAATAAGTCATCACCGCCACATATATAACAGAACAACTCTCCAGCGAGTCACTGCTCAGAGCACAATCAAACCTGTGTTAGTGGGCACGCCTATAAAAATAACAACCATCAATAAACGACGTTTTTTTTAGCTTTCCCTTGAGTAGCAGTTACACGGGTGAAATCACCTCTAAAATGGTTGCCTGTATATAAAGAGCACGTTTTGTACTCCCCTCATACATTTATATACAGGCAACTTTGACTGCAAGTCGTCATTTTACCTCAACAGAATGTAGAATCTCTTGTGATTGCTATCAGGGTGATATTGGGTGCACACCACTCTCTGCACAAGGTTTTGCACTAAACACTTGCCCCTAGCTTTTCAAACCCTATCATCACAGTCGCAATAATAGCAGAGCAAAACCGGAAATCTCGCTAACTTCAGCCGAAAAGTGGCAGTCAATGGCAAATGTGTTTACTCTAAACTGTACGTGCCAGAAATCCGCCGTTTATATTTTGTGGGAGTTCCTGGCACTGATAAACTGCGATGATAGCAGAGATAGCTAGCAGTTTTGATGTGTACTGTCCGTGTTGTATCAATAACATACATAATCTGCGAACAAAAGCATGCTCTATATGAATCTATATAGAGTCTGTCACAACTAAATAGATAAACGTAATGATTAAATCTGATTTCTGAGACTATTGTACTTATTATATAAAGGATTTGCTGGCTATGTCAATATCAGTAACGTACATACATTATAGGATTACAATGCTGTTTTCATTGCACACAATACATTGCTGTTGTACATGCTTATAAGTACCAGTTTGCAAGCAATTTTGATTCATAAACTGTAATTTTGGTTAGGCACCCCTATATATATATATATATATATATATACATATATATCAGGAGTAGATAATAGGGAAGGAGTGTGACTTCAATAAACAAGGGAAATTCGTCATTTACTAGCCTTAGAACACCTACGATTTACTATGCGTAACTCAACCAACTTGAGCTCAAATCGTACACAGTACATTCGGCTAGCATCGTGCGAAATCGTTTCCTCGTATACACCCGCAATCCGGAGATACAGACTAAAACGTACGACACGATTTTCCATTATGTTGCCAGCAAACTGAATGCGTAAACCGCCTAACTCAAAACAAAAGGCAGCTGTAAATAGGTCAAAGATTAGCTCAGCGAGCCACACCGCATCGCCGAGGGCGCAAGTCATTAGTAGCTGCCTTTTGTTTCGAGTTAGGCAGTTTAAACATTCAGTTTGCTGGCAACATAATGGAAAATCGAGTCGTACGTTTTAATCTGTATTTCCGGATTGCGGGTGTATACGAGGAAACGATTTTGCACGATGCTAGGCGAATGTACTGTGTACGATTTGAGCGTAGTGTAGTAAATCGTAGGTATTATAAGGCTAGTAAATGACGAATTTCCCTTATTTATTGAAGTCACACTCCTTCCCTATTATCTACTACTGATATATATCAAGAGTACATAATAGAGATTACTCTATTATGTACTCTTGATATATATATATATATATAATATATCAGAAGTGAATAAAAACAATATTTATTTTCATTCACTTATGATTATGAATTGTATGTATATTTACTCTGTAAAACAACCCACATCACACAAGCAGTTAACATACTGCTGAAAAAACCCTAACACATCCACAGCAATGTCTGCCTCGGCCACTGCCGGCGGCGCCCCCTCTACTTCAACACTGTCCAGTCGAACTCCAGATTCGACTTGTGCGTGACGGGCATGCAAGGCGACGACCCCTCTACTTCAACACCGTCCAGTCAAACTCTGGGTTCGACATGTGCGTGATGGGCATGCAAGGCGGCTGCACGAGGCTCCACGCCGCGCTGGCCGACGACCCCTCTACTTCAACACCGTCCAGTCAAACTCTGGGTTCGACATGTGAGTGACGGGCATGCAGGGCGGCTGCACGAGGCTCCACGCCGCGCTGGCCGACGACCCCTCCTCCAGCGCGGCGAGGCTGCAGTACGGCGTCCCGTTCATGATGCGCGACAGTGCCGAGTAGGTGCGTGGCTGCAGCCCGAGCAGGCCCCGCGTGTTCACCTCCAGCGACGCCGCATGCGCCACCAGGAGGACATCGCCGCCGGCGCCCTCTGCCGCAGCGTGGGCGACGGCGTGCCGCGTCGCGCGCTCGCTGCGAGCGTAGTAGTCGGCGAGCGTCTCGGCCGTCGCGAGCTGCCGTTCGTCGACGAGCGCGCAGTACGCGACGTCGACGTTGTAGCCGGCGTCGGCGAACTCGGCGGGGGTCATGAAGGTCGCGCGCCGCGCCTTGTACCAGCCCATCCACTCGAAGAGCGCCGGCTCGACGCGCAGCGGCACGCGGTCGCGCACCCCGAGTGCGCGCAGCAGCGCGTCCGCCGTCTGGACGCAGCGCAGCGACGGCGACACGTACGCGTGCGCCACCGTGCCGCCGCCGAAACGCAGCGAGTCGCCGACGAGGCGCGCCTGCGTGAGACCGATCTCGGTGAGCGGCGCGTCGCGGTCGTAGTCGTGCGGGCCGCCGCGGCGACGCGGCAGCGCGCGGGGCAGGTTCGCGTCGACTCTCACGTAGTTGCCCGCCGCGTCGAAGCACGTCTCAATCCACCAGTCGCCGCCGAACGTGAAATCGACGCGCTCGCCGTGACGCATGACGTACAGCCGCCGCCGCGCCGCCGCCGGCGCTCCCTGCACGCCGTTCACCGCCTCGACGACGACGCGTGCGACCGGGTACGAACGGTGCAGCCGCCAGACGCACGTCTCGGGCGCCCTCTGGAGGAAGTTGCCGGGCGTCATGCCGCGCACGCCCGTCCGCCACGAGGTGGCGCTCACCCAGCCGTCCTCGGAGGCGGCTAGGGCACCAGCGGCGACGTAGACGTAGTCGTCGATCGTCAGCTGCAGCTCGTCATCGTAGACGGGCTCGTAGTTGTGCGCGACGCGGTGCGCCTCGCAGCCGCTGAACCCCGCGTCGCGAGAGTACAGCCGCACGTCCCACGCCGTGCCGCTGGCGCCACCTACGTCCACGCGCCGGCACAGCCGCTCGAGCGTCGGCCGCTGGTGCGCGGCGAAGTTGCGTGCGAGCGCGATGCGCGGCGGCCGCCGCCGCGCGATGTCCTCGCTCGGCGCCACCTGGATGCCGGCGGCGGCGAGATCGCCGGCGAACGAGGCTGCGAGCTCGCAGAGGCGTGTAGCGTCGCCGTCGGCAACGGCGAGCCCGACGATGGAGTCCGGGATGGCGTGCTCGAGATGCATCCGGGTCGTGGGGTCGGCGGCGTCGACGACACGGCGGAGAGCGTCGTGGAGGAGGGCGACGTGGGCGTGCCTGACGGGGAAGAATCCCGTCAGCGGGATGTGCGGGGCGGCGCGGCACGCCGCGGCGTCCCAGTCCTTGATCATGTCAGCGGCGTGGGCGTAGAACTGCTCTATCTCCTGCAGCACGCTGCCTGCAAACACGTGCGCATATAACGATACATATACATACACGTATATTACTCAAACCTACATGCAACAACTATATACAGTGTGGCCCATTATAACGCAATCGTTGAGGTCCATAAAATGTCATTGCGAAAAAAGCAGGGTTGCGCTAAACCGGGTTTCAAGAAAATCAGCGTCTAAACTGACCCAATGTTGACCTAACATCCTAAAACAGAGCAACAAGTCATGTAAACTCATTTAGTTGCACGATCTATAGTTGGCCAAGTCCAATGACTCATCGCGTTATATATCCAAATTCATGTTAAATCGGGGGACGTAAAATCGGGGTTCACTGTACACTACACATTCACTTACATTATACATAAAAACCAATTGGGTGAGACCTACTTTAGAAATGACATACATACATGATGGGAATTAGGATTAGGTTAAGGTTAGGGTTAGCATTGGGATTGTTATAGCAGGGCTCGACACTAGCGCTGGCCCGATGGCCCGTGGCCAGTAAAACTGAACGTCGGGCCAGCAGAATTTTAGAAATGCAAAATTTTGGTGGACCCATCGAGCCACTAAACTTTCTAAGTGACTATGTAAGAAAAAGTATAATTTTCTTACGTGAAAATCTTGTGCGTGCGTACGTACGGTATGTGTGCATGTATATGTGTAGCTACAGTGTGTTTACATGACTACGTGGTGTACGTGTGCATGAGCCGCGATAGCTAGAACAATACGCAAACAATAGTTACAATACAATGCGCGTGACCGCTGCAATATGCAGGAATGAGATTGGAGAATTTAATTTCCAGCTGAAATTGAAATTAGCAAACAGAGGAGCAAGCAATGCGAGGACCGTAGGTCATGCTCCCCCGAATTTTTTTTTAAAAGAATGGTGCAATTTGGTGCATTCTAAGCTATTCTGAACACATTATAGGAAACTCTTGAATCACCTTTTCAAGTTGTCAAAAGGAACAAACGAATTATGAATAGGAAATCAGGGGCCTGAAAATAGAGTAAGTTTTTTTATTAAATGTCTAGACATAATGATATTTTTCTGTTTCCACCCGTCGCTTGCATTGTTTTACTCAGACATAAGCTGCCTTGCTGCGACGAGAATTGTATGAAAAAAACACAATGCGAATGGAACAATCAGTGCATAGTCATGCACACAACATGCACACAGCAACAGGTAAACCCGGCCCCAGGCCAGGGATGGTCGTTACGTGATCAGCTACCTCAAACGACTGCCCCTCTACTGCAGCCTGTGAACGAGGATTTTCTTTTCTGGTACACAAAAACAGATACACTGTATACTTCGCTGTCAGTCTACTGTCTACACTCTACAGTCTACAGTCAGGTGCTGTTGAGCAGTTGAGGGTATATATTTTAAATGTTTACATTGTTACCCCCCCTCCCAATTTTCTCAACGAATTTAGACGTTTCACAAAATCGACCCCTGGGACTGTCAAATCCGCGGATCCGCGGAAGAATCTCATCCCTGAATATGGTGTGATGCGATGTATGCGTACTATACGGTAGTTTGGGTCTCGTATGCGAGAGAACTTTACGCGTAAAAATATCATTCGAGTCTTCTGCATATAAAGTGAATGCGTGTCGTTTCTGTTCTAGTTTCTGCTTGTGCTCGTGGACCGGTTAGCATTCGTCATTGGTCCAGTGCATTGTAGCGTGCAGTGGAAGAAATCGATATCATAACACACGCAGCTCTGCGTACGTACGTATCAGTGTTCGAAATATAGTTAATGACCCTGTGACCTTGACATTGGGTGGAAGTGGCTCAGAATCAATAGGGTTCTCTCGCCCCATAAGATGCAACTGTGGACCAAGTTTAAAGTTTCTTCCTCTTACGGTTCCTCCTCGATTTTTAATGTTTTTCTTTGTTTTTTGGGGGGGCCAGTAACTTTGCTTTTCGGGCCACCAAAAATTGAAAATTCATGATTTTACTGGCCCGAACGGGCCACTAGAAAAAAAGTTAGTGTGGAGCCCTGGTTATGGTAATGAAGTATATTGACATCATCGTATATGTATTGAAGTCCTAAAGTGGGCTCTAGCGAAATCAATGTATTAGATAGTAACGTGACGATACTGCATGCCCACAATTTCAGATGCTGCAACAATATTATCCAAACAATTAATCCAAAAAACTAACAGAACTATGTATATATCTATGTAATACATCAAATCGTTCTATATTTTTCATGTTAAAACTAGATGAACCTGCTCACAATTTCACAGATATTGTCAAAATTATCAATTGCTTGCATATAACAGTGACGTAACCAAACTATATACACAACATACCACCCCTTACGAACTTACAATGTTACATATCCCATATTTACCTGTTGGACACATGAGGAGCACGTATTCCCGGGGAGACTGGTCATCCAATAACGGATCATTGGCATGATTCAGCAGCCACTGTGCTGCTTCCTGTGCTGTACCGTTTCCTGTTGCTGCAACAGCCTTCTCCGCTCTCTCCTTCGAGAAGCCCATCTGGATCAATACCTGAAAAAATGTTGCAGCTAGTATAATGCATGCATAAAATTGATCGATAAGTAATGGTACTGCGGCAGTACCGGTCGGTGAAAATGAAAATGTTGAGTCTATGCAATCACAATCATCCCATCAAATCAATGCACGGCTACACCATCATGGCAAACCCGGTCCAAGCCTAGTTTAGCACCTCAGATTAGTGACATAATAGTGTAGCATATGGCCCGTAGTCCGAGTTTCCTCTGACCAATGGCAATGACCACACCAAACCACCAAAATCGTCGGTGTGGGCATTGGTCAGAGGAAATTCGGACAAATTGCGGGGATGCCAAACTAGCTTTGCTCCGCAAAGGCCGATGCATTGCAATGCCATGGTAAAGTTCAACCTACCTGCACAGAAGAAAAACACCGTTTCACTGTCTGACTCTGAGGGGTGAAGTTTTTAGACCGTCTTCTTGGTGGACTTGTCGAGCCATAGCCCGTTACCATAGCCATAGTTTCGTTACGTTCGTAACGTATTTGCAGAGTGAGTGGTACAGCTGGGTACGGAAAGGTTATATTATAGTTATATAGTTTGTTTGCTTCAGGGGTTCTTTCTCGGGTCACTGAGGTAATTCGACCGTAACGCGACAAAGCCACCGCGGCTACATTGTAGTAGACTGGTACTCGCTCCCATCTCGATTACTCGATGGGTTACCCATCGAGTAACTAAGCCGAGAGGTGGGACCGGGTACCAGTCTACATTAGTAAGCCTACATGATACTCCGAAACGGACCGAAAGGGACCAAGAACTCGACGGACATCATAACTATATAATTGACCGGCAAAGGTTTTAACTGGGGAGATTTAATGCTACTAATCATCGTAATTTTATTTTGTTACTTGAATAGCTCAAAATGACAATAAGGACCTAAAGAATTATAATTAATATTAAATGGAAAAACATAAAACGTGAAATAACCGAATGGTATTTTGTTAGTGCTGATCGCGCCCTCTAGCGGATCACTATATCTCCCTGTGAAAAATCATAATAAAATTCCATCAAAATTCATTAGTAAATATATTCCTCGTGTTACTGGTCACAACGGTCGTATGAACACAAAAGAGGAGATCATACAAGACTAGAACAACAGCTATAGCCTTGCGCTGTAGTCGTAAAATCAAATATGTCGAGTATCGAATATGTCACATAATGAATAACAAAACCCTGGCCTATGTAAAAACCGTACCGCGGCGAGTGAGTGTAAACCAAAGATCGTAGAGTGAACTACGAAACTAACGAACCTACGGCACTCTAGAATCTTTGGTGTAAACTGTGTCAGTGTGTGGTGTAGAGTGCACTGCTAATGCAATGGCAATGCGTGGTATCGACCGCGGCGTGACATCAACAAAGCGGTCATTTCTGTAAGTTGCGTATAGCTATATTCACCTAGCTGCTTCGGCCCAAGGATAGAGAACTTGGGTCGCAATAAAACCAATGTGCCTAACCGGGATGACATTGGTTTTATTGGGACCCATGTTCTCCATCCTTGAACCGCTGCTTCAATGAAATGGAGGGATAAGAAATCATTTATAAATTATAGTGGTATTTAGGGTAATACGGTACCGAGGAGCGTACCCAGTGTACGTCTCCGGTGTCACGGTCTGAGATTACCCAGTCTGAATTACCTAGCGGCTACTCTCACACACTACACGCCAACACACATCACACACACACACACCGTGTGTGTAGTCGAGTTCCCGCCCCACCGGCGAGTCCGAGTCCGAGTCCGAGTCCGCGACCAGCCCGATCGCGAGTCGCGAGTCCGATCGCGAGTCCGAGGTCGCACCACCCGAGTCGCGTCGACACGCACCCGAGTCGAGTTCGAGACCGGAGTCCCGGTTTTGATAAAAAAAGAAAAGGGGGGCACAGACCGAAAAGGCCATGTCACCTTCTATGTATGTGTTTGTTCAATAATGGGGGGGGTTTTCCTGTCCGCTGGAATCTGTCACTTGTTTGCATAAGAAACGAAAGACCGATAGAACTTGCAGGTCAGTCGACACTTTGGGACCAGCATATTTGTTGTCGACTTAGGAAATACCGTGTGTGGAAAGTTAAAATAAAATAAATAAAATTGTGCAATTATGCATTGTTTACGCTACGAACATATCGATCTGTATGTAGAATGCTTAGATTAGTGGGCCATCATCCGACTTGCTTATGAGATTTGATCTGGAAGCGCACCGTACGCATCGTAACATTCGAAAGTGTATTAGTCAGCCCGAAACACACAGAGACACGAGTTGCATACGTAAACGCTTTCAAGGTAAACGGATCCATTTGTGGTTTCACGGAAGGACACGCTTGTTTGAAGCCAAATGAGAGAGGTGCTAGATTAGTACCTAATACGTAGTACCGTACTCTTCGAAGTGGTAGAGGTCATATAGTAGTGACCTATAGTACTCGCACATGAGGTTCATGACATCGATTTCTCCCTTTCTGCTGCTTATAATTCACTTGCCGCCAGCCCAGTAGCAGACGATTGATTAACCGGCCGCGCACTGTGTCACATTTTATGCCCGTGTTGAATAGCGAATGATGCGCGTCGAACGTGCTATCGGCCCACGCGCGATTTAAAGCGCGCAACAGCAATCTACGAGCTACTATGTATGTAGTGCCTCGAGCCGTCTCGACGCGAGTCTCGATCCGGAGGGCTCGCGTCCGAGTCCCGAGTCCGCGTCATTGACTCCGAGGCCGAGACCGAGACCGGAGACCAAGGAAACCTGTCTGCGAGACCGGTCTCCGAGACAAGACCGGTCATCGAGACCTACAACAGATGACACCACACACACACAGCACACACACCTCACATCAATTGACATCACTTCGCCTTGGTGATTCTCCCGAGTTTAACGCAAGCCAGTGAGATAAACACCGAAACCTGGTGTTTTATGTTGGCTAAGTGGAGTCCTCGGTACTGGAAGAAGATATTGGTTGTGACAATCATAAACTGCATGCTAAATCTTCAGCTGGTTTACCTACTACGTGTTTACAGATTACCTTCGCACCAAGGGCAAATGGTTTGTCCAGATTGTAACAAAACAATGGCTATCATTAAAAGGCAAAGTTACCAACCGGCCGTAACTCGAAATTATGTGATGTAATATAAAATTGTGATATGCTTGTAGGTTTAGGATTAAAATGATTCGTATTGCATCGATAGTGTATGTTTCCACGGACTTGTTTCTAACAGTGTTTGTTTCTAGAATATATATAGAAGCTTCGTGAACTAGTTTGTTCATCGTGATTACTAATTAGTAGCATAGACCTAAGTGTGTTTCAAGACTTGTTTATTTAGTACCTTATCTGGTAGAACGTAATTAATCAGGTTGCGTGGAGTTGAGGAGGGAAGCAGGAGGGAGATAGAGAGGAGGAGGAACGAGACAGAGAGAGAGAGGAGCGGAGGAGTGAAGGGAGAGAGACGAGAGAGAGAGAGAAAGGAGAAGACAGAGAGAGAGAGGCGGAGAGAAGGGAGGGGAGAGAGAGGAGGCAGGAAGGAAGAGTGGGGAGAGAGCGCGGAGGAGAGCCGAGAGGGAGGGAGGAGAGAAGAGGAGAGCAGAGAGGGAGGAGAGAAGACAGCGAGCGATGAGAGAGAGAGGGAGGAGAGACCGAGATCAGAGAGGGAGAGCGACAGAGAGAGCGGAGGGAGGAGAGACAGAGACAGAGAGGAGGAGCGGACAGAGAGAGAGAAGAGAGAGGAGGAGAGAGAGAGAGAGGGGCAGAAAGACAGAGAGCAACGAGGAGGAGAAAAAGAAGAGCAAGAGAGGGAGGAGGAAGAGGACAGAGAGCGAGAGAGGGAGAGGAGGAGAGCACGAGAGAGAAGAGAGGGAGGAGGAGGAGAGACAGAAGAGGAGAAAAAGAGAGGGAGAGGAGGACGCGACAGAGAGAGAGAGAGAGAGAAGAGGAGAGAAGGGAGGGAGAGGAGAAGAGACAGAGAGAGAGAGGGAGGAGGAGAGACAGAGAGAGAGGAGGAGGAGGAGAGACAGAGAGAGAGAGGGAGGAGGAGGAGAGACAGAGAGAGGAGGGGGAGGAGGAGGACACAAAACATCAAGAAGAGATGAGGAGAGAGAGACGGGAGAGGAGAGACGAGAGTGAGAGACGAGGGTGAGGAGGAGAGAACAACGAGAGAGAGGGACAGAGAGAGACAGAGAGAGAGAGAAAGAGAGAAGAGAGAGAAGAGAGAGAAGAGAGAGAGAGGGAGGAGAGAGAGATGAGAGGGAGCGAGAGACAGAGAGAAGAAGAGAGAGGAGAGGGAGGAGGGAGGAGAGACAGAGAGCCGAGGAGGAGAGGAGGCAGAGACAGAGAGCAAGAGGAGAGACAGAGAGGAGACATAGGATGGAGGAGGAGAGGAGGAGAGACAGGGTAGAGAGGATAGAGAGGGGAAAGAGGAGAGACAGAGAGAGAGAGAGCTATGAGAGATGAGAGCGGGAAGACAGAGAGACCAGAGAGGGGGAGAGCAGAGAGAGAGAGAGAGCAGGAGAGAGAAGAGGCGGAGAGACAGAGAGGGAGGAGGAGAGACAGAGACAAGAAGGAATTGACTTGACAGGTTAAGTCCTCAACTTCATAAGCGTCATCATACAACATTTGAAATCTGGACATAGAAGAACAGTAGGTTAAGAAACTGCTCGCAATAGAAGAATATATGAACAGTACAGTCATAAAGTCGGGTACCCTGTGAAATATTTAATTTATCATCATTTCCTCAAATCATTCATCAGTGAAACGCTGCTGTGCTCATTGCCTTAAACTCCAATTTTCCATTCTTAGAGTCTGTAGCCACATAAGGTCTGGCGTCATACAGAGGTCCGTAACATCTGTCGGGTGTGAATGCCATCTCCTCTGTGACTCACTTCTCATGTTCTCCTGATTAGTTATAAGCAGGCAAGGTATCGAAAGAATTCTCATCTTTTTCCCTATCAGAATAGGTATAGTACATCCGCTATCCTACAATAATTCACGCATTTTCAGATTTTCGTCGTGAAATGTTGGAGATCTCTCTTAAAGCTGAACTTTCCACGCGTATCCAGTCGACAGAAGTCGCTTACCATGATGCCAACATGGCCGCGCTTGGTTTTGATAACGCAAAAAACGGTTGGCGGGCAAGGGTCTCTGTTACATACATGTTACAGCCATTTCAAATACTACATATATATTTAACTTTAATATATATAATTTGATACGTAGGTAGTATACTTTGGTACACAACTTTATACTTAAATTAAAGGGATCCTTTACTCTAGGTTCTAGGGTTATTTTCAGTTAATTTAGGTTAAAATTTTGCTACATAAAAAGTCTCATGGTTCAATCGCCATTAGAAATTTTTTTTTTTAATGTTTTAAAACTAACGACTACAGTGATTACAACGACGGTGGCGCCACTCAAAGTGCACGATCTGAAAAGTTGCGCAAAACGACTTTTCAGCTAAGGGCTACAGACCGAGGGTGTTTCTTATTTGTTAATTTAAAAGCAAAAGGATTGTAATATATCTTATAAACGACATATAGTTTCAGTTATATTATGGATAAATTTGTCCTAAAATGAACATTGTTTGGTTAAATAGCATTTAGGTATAAATATAATTGCACATTTGTGATTAGCCTTCGGTCTGTAACGTGCAACTGTTTCAGGGTGGCAGCACGGTCGCGGGTGTCAATGGCGCCGTTCAAATTTCGTAGCGTTGATGTATAATTAATTATAACAATTAAATTAGGTATCTAGTAACAAGTACGTGTGGGTATAGACGATTTGTTATACAGTAAGTACAGTTGTATGCAGTAAAATCCTAGAGTCTAGTATCCCTTTAATTTACATTTGCATGTTTGGGATCCTATTACATATAAGTTCGCAATCAAGACTTAGTGCATATTGAGGTATAGTATTTATAAGTGGTTCCTATCATAAACTGTGGAATATAGAAGCCCTTTTACCATAAAGTTTGCTCATATTGTTATTTGTTTGTGCTATATACTTTTCAATGTTCATATAACATGTTTAATATTGGCTTTCATTGCTGAAAAAGTTGGTCTAACGTTTTCAAGTCTGCATCTATAAATGGTGAACTTAGATATGTGTATACACAAGTTGACGACGATTAATATCTAAAAATTAATTTCCATCTTCCATCTCTATTATTTCCATGATCGTGCCATGATCATGATGCAGCAGTTTTAGTTATTGGTGGTAAGATGTAATGTCATCACAAAAAACCAAATGTGCCATTTCTGCAACAGTATAGAACCAATAACAAAAGACTAGGATACAACTATTTTTTGCATTTGTAGAAAATCTTCGGTGTCTTGGGGTTGGAGGAATATACCGGTAACTAGAGGAATGCACGTCACTGCTGTAGCAAGAGACAATACAAGCTCGAACGAATGGCTGATAAGACAGAGTCGAGACCCCTACGTGAAAATGGCAAAGACAAAACATTATCGTGCACGCAGTGCTTTCAAACTCATTGAGATTGATGACAAGTACAGGTATATATATATATATATAGTACAGTCTTCATGAAAAACTCTGAGCTACTAGCCCTTCGGGCAAGTATTCTGTAAAATGTACATGCCCGAATGACATTCTAGTTGCCCATATATTTGCATGAATATTTTTGGAATATTGAGTAAAGAAGTGTACACCAGATAACTTCTAGACACTGTTCGTTTCCTGTGTTAACATTTTGTTATTTTAAATTAAGAATTTAAATGGCCAGTTTTTAAAGCGGGCAAATGAGCTTGCAATGTTTACATGCCTGCCGAGGTTTCTACACGTCTCCGGCTTCGGACACCTGGCTAAATTCGAAGACACACACATATAT